AGAGTGTATAATATATATATATATATATTTTTTTTTTTTTAACATTTATAACAGCCCAAGCATTCCTGTGTATATATATATAGAAAGCTGTACCAAACAAATTTGTAAGGGGAAACATGTAAACAATAAACCAACTCCATAGCGGATTCTAAGTGATCAAGGGCTTAGGACGTTCCAATTCTGCCCATTATATTGCAGTAGTGGGCACTTGTGCAACGTAATCAATGACGTACATCCAAGTAAACAAGACGGAAGGAAGTTTGTGAGTGAAGGGCATAAAATAAGGAGTGGAACACAGCCCCAGTGTTTGCCTTACCTGACTGTGTACAGCTACTATCTAACACGCGATGGTGCTTTGAAACGCCTCCTACCAAACCTGTGAAGGACTGTGATATGTAGCTGTTATCAGATCTACAGGCGATCTTTCGCTCTGAAACTGTCTGTTCGTTCTCATGTAAAGATGTATGTTCGAATGTGCAAGATGAATTTACGGCTATTTTTAAAAGGAAATGTTAAGACTGTTAAATCTTTTTTCGTTGTTGTTGATGTTGTAAAAAATATTTATTATGTGAAGCTCTATTATTTTATGATATTTATTGCAAAGGACAGATTTACTCATGTCTGAATATAACAAAATATCAACACTTACTGCAACATGAAAGAATGGAGAAACAGCTGGAAACATGTTAACTTTAATGCAAAAATATACAAGTTAATGCAAAACGCTCTTGTTTGGTGTCTCATTTCATGTGGAGGAAACAGATGAGAGTTGGAGAGTCAGAGTTAGTCGGACTAAAGTTGTGTTTATTTAGGATTTAATTATTAAATCTGCGTTGCAGAAGTTGGAAATGAAGATGTGTGTTTCTGCAGGACGAAATCAGACGTGCAACCCTCATTACAGCTCTGTGTGTGTGTGTGTGTTTGAGTGTGTGTTTGAGAGTGTGAGTGTGTGTGTGTGTGTGTGTGTGTGTGTGTGTGTGTGTGTGTGTGTGTGTGTGTGTGTGTGTCCACCTGGCCACCTGTGTGAGGCTCATAAAGTCTCTCTCTTTGTCTTCTTTTATTGCATGTTTCCTGCTGTCAGGCGTTTGTTTGTGAGCTGCTGGTTTTCACCCCGTCGCCTCAGACCTGCCCCTCTCCTCCTGTGCTGCTCTCAGCGGTTGTTTTTGCCCAGTTTTTGGTTTAAATTTGAATCTATGTCTGGACTAAAAGATTAAAATACTTGCACAAAGAACACAGGATTATCTGAATTTGTAGATTTTAAATCAAATATTGATTTTAGAGTTCACATTCAACCTCAAAATCAAAATAAAGAAATACGAAATGCATAAAGAAACTGAAGTCTGTTTTTAGAGTGATTAAGATGTTTGATTTTTACAATTTTTGAAGCAAAGTTTGAAGCAAAAGATATTTAAATGATTAAGCATTTATAAGTCATAGAATTTGTTGTTCTGAATTTAATATAGGCTGTTTTTAATGAAGAAAAAACATTTACAATCAATGACAATACTTAGTACTTTAATGTCATGAAAATATAATTACAGTGGATAGAAAATCTCCAAAAACAATGTACAAAAGCTTTTTTTTTTGTTGCTAAATATATTGTGAATTTGTTTGTTTTACATTTTTAAATCAAATATTGATTTTGAAGTATTGTGAACCTCAGGTCAGGTGACATTTAACCCCAAATTTGTGCTTTGTGAGCATTTTCTCAACATGTTCAGCCAAATTCTCTTTACTGTAATGAAATAAAAAGATATTTAAATGGTAAAGTATTTATAAATCATGTTGTCTGTTGTTCTGAATTTGATATTTGCTGTTTTTAATTGAGATTAAATATATACCATCAATGAGGCTGTAATGTTTAATTATCATAAAAACAATGTTGCAATGGATACAGATTCTAAAAAGCCTAAAATAAGATTAATTTTCTTGCTAAATATATTTTTGGGGGTTAAAAAACATAGACATGTTCTTTGTGAGATAAACCACAAACTGAATTTTTTTATTTGTTGGAAATGTGTAATCACTAGACTGTGCAGGAAGTGTGTGTGTGTGTGTGTGTGTGTGTGTGTGTGTGTGTGAGAGAGAGAGAGAGAGAGAGAGAGAGAGTGGAATTTATGTGTGTTAACAAGGAAGTAGCAGCTCAAAAGACAACAGGCAATAAGAGCGAAACACTCTTCCAAATGGAGTCGTTAAGTGTGTGTGTGTGTGTTTGCTCTCTGCAGGAATGCACCTTTTGTTGTTGTGAATTGCTTTGTGGATTAGTCGCCTGTCTGTTTCCTGAACCTTCAGAGAAGTGTGAGGGTCCATTTGGCTCTGATCGCCTCACAGGACACCATAAAACACACACACACACACACACACACAGGCTTATGTTCAAGGAAATGTAAAGCTGCTCTTCATTGATTATAAAAGGAAACTCCGATGATTTTGTGTTCTCATACTCTTTGCTCATGAGCTCTCATTTAACATTTTTACATGCACTTTTTTTCCGACTGCGGTTGAAATGAAATTCGTCACAGATGATAATCAGCTTAATCTGAGCAAGCTTTTGTGGTTTGGTAAACTTCATTTGCATTCATGATCATTTAATATTCAAAAGCAGACACGTTTACACTGTAGAAATGATTTTTGAAGTTGTAAACAAGGATTTTCAGAAAAAAATAAAATAAAAAAAATAAAACTTTAAAATAAAAATGTCAAAATGTAATGTTTAATTCAATGCATTACTTGCTATTAGTTTGTAATTATTTGTGAAATTCAGTCATTTCTGAATGGATTTATTTTACACCACATTTTTGAACTATAAGATTAAAATATTTATTAAAAAGTAAGTTTGGGTTACAAACACAATCATCTGATTTTTTTACTTTATGATTTTCTTTTTTTTTCTTTTTTTGGACAAATTAAAGCTTAAAAACTTAGCCCAATTTTTAGCCCAAATTCTCTTTACTGTAAAGCATTTATTACTTGCCATTTGTAGTTTCTTTATAATTGTTTGCAAAATTTACTTACAATTTCTCAGTGAAAATTGTTTTTTGCACTAATTTTTTCAGTGCATTTTAAGTCATTTAACAACCAAGAATAATCTACAGTTCAGTCTCTGTAGATACCAGTTTTGCTTGACTTTTTTTCTTTCTTCCAGTGCAGTTTCAAAGACTTTATTGGTTTGATATACGAGGCGTTTGAACTGCCAGCATTAATAAATAATAATAATAATAATATCTCAGTGCTGTGGTGGTTTCCTCAGGCTGTGTTTACAGTCAGATCCTCTTTCAGCGTCTCTCTCACACACACACACACACACACACAAGGGGCAGTCCTACACGTATCAACATGCATGGAAATCACTGTGAGTCATAGAGGAAACACACACACATCTGAAACCTCACAGGAAAGCCAAACCACTCTGTTCCTAAAAAAATACTTTTCACTGTTTCCTCTGAGCTTAAAAATAGGCCCTGACCCTCCCATATGAGTGTGTGTGTGTGTGTGTGTGTGTGTGACCAAATGTCCCCACAAGGATAGTAAAACCTGACATTTTTTACGGTATGGGGACTGGCCTGCGGTCCCCACGAAGGAAAAAATAGTAAATGGTGTTTATCTGAAAGTGTAAGATTGCAAACAGGTTTTCTGTAAGGGGTAGGTTTAGGGTTAGTGGATAGAAAATATCGTTTGGTCAGTATAGAAGTAAAATAAGTCTATGGAAAGTCCCCACAATTCACTGCAACAAATGTTTGTGTGTGTGTGTGTGTGTGAGAGAGAGAGTGTGAGAGTGTGTGTGTGTGTCTGTCTGTCTGTCTGTGTGTGTGTGTTTGTGTGTGTGTGAGAGTGTGTGTGTGTTTGTGTGTGTGTGTGTAAATAACAAGCTTTAAGCAGTGAGTCTTCAGCTTGATTTGAACACTAATATGCGATGGTGCTCATGTTTGTGTGTTTTTTCTGATTGCGTTTTCTCCAACAGTCGTTTCACGAGCGTCTCTTGAGCTGGTGTGTGTCTGGTTCTCTCGCCTCTTTGTGCTGTTTGTGTATTGGGCTGAGAGCGTGTGATCTGTGCTTTTCATCATGTCACGCTGATGGAGCTCTGATTGATTTCTCGTCAGAGCAGGAAATGTTTCACGGGATTAAACTCTTTGACTGA